GCTGGGGGGTCAGTGTGTCCAGCAGGGCGGTGGCAGAGGTTGGGGTAGATGGTTCCACCCATCAGTGCTGACCCAAAAGCTCCTGTGCTTGGTCCTTGTGTCATCTGTGAACCTCACCCAGAGTCTCCTCTTGAACCTCTTGGTGGGCAGAGGGACCTTGCACAGCTCTGGTTTCACTGCTCCAAACCTAATCCTGGGCAAACTGGGAAAGGAAATAAATACCTGCTGGGCTCTTCCTGTCCATGGCCGTTGAAATTACCCTTTGGGTGAACCTCTGCAAATGGACACTGTTGGCATTAACATTGATTAATGTGCTCTGATTTTGGCTGACATGACCTGTTTCACCCCCAGACCCCGCAGGTGATCAGTGTTTACCTGGGGCTTGTGGTCCATAATGGAGCTCCTTGTGGGACACAGGCTGGGGAAGGCAACACGTGTCTGCCTCAAAGCTGGGATCCCCCAGGGAAACACATTGAGATTTGGTCATTTTCTCTTGGTTCTGTCCAAGGAAAAACCTTTTTTGAAGCTGGAGATGAGTTTGTGTGAATTCTTAAACCCAGGAGGGGGAAGGCTGGTGTGTTGAGGTTTTCATTTACCTTCTCACTCTGGGATATTTGTTTCTGCTCTGCCTTTCTGGTTTAATATGTACCTCTGCAAAATCTTAACTTGCAGGAACAGGGCTGCAGTAGTGACTTGGAGGGATGAAAACCTCAGGGAAAGTGTCAGTGGCAGGAACTTGCATCCACTGCCTGAGATGGCAGCAGGTGTGGAACCTCCCTCTGCCAAACAGCTGCTCACCCTGCTCCATCCTCTGTAGCCCAAGTAAGAGTAAACCCACTTGTACTCAACTTGTGCTTTGGATCCACCTATGGGGACAAATTATATTTTATATGTATAATTTTTCCTCCCTATGTTGGAGGTTCTTTGTCCAGCTTTAAGAAAAGCCCTTGGTTAGCCAGGATGTGGCAATTTTAAATGGTGGAGATGAGGGATTTGCTCATAGTTTGGATTAGAACTGGATAGGAATTGTTTTTCTACAACTCCTAGGGAACGACAGAGAGGAAATCCTGCTGGCTTGAGGATGAGCTGAGCAGCCCCTTCACCTGAGAATCTGGAGGGGCAGAATCATGAATTGATTTGTTTCAAAGGGCTCACAGAGACCGAAAAATACTTTTTCTTTCCGAAATGAATGGGTCAGCCCCAAATACTGGCCCAGCTTGTGCTTTAATTGACCTGCTGGTGCAGGTCGATTGGGTACTGAGGACTTTGACTCCTGTTTCCAGGCTGAGCTGTGTAATCGAGGAGCTGTGGCTTGGGAGTCCTCAGTGTGAGGACAAACAAGCAAGCAAGGAGGGCAACTTCCTGGGAAAGACAAATGTCATGGGCCTGGCAGAGGAATCATAAATTAATGATAATAGAGTACAACACTGGGTATCAGAGGGGAAAAGGGAAGCAAAAGGAAGAGCTGATAGTGATTGCAGGGAAAGGACAGCTCTTGTTCTCACAAGGACAAGCTGTGTTAGTTTTTCCTGAAGGCCTTACAAGCTTTGTTTGGTTTTCCTCTTGCTTTCCTGGTGAGACTGAGCTGCTCATCCCTAGTTCAGCACACGGGAGGGAACCTGGAGTGCTGGGCTGATCCATTGTGTGGCTCCACCTCCGTGCTCTTCTCCCGGGGACACGGCTTTTCCCAAACCACCCCTGCTTCCAGTCCCTCTGTGGTCAGGGAGCCACTGTACTGATGTGCAGGGCCCCAAGAGGGGCATAAATTCATCAGTGTTGGGGATAAACTCATCAAGTTGGGGATAAATTCACCAACAAGAGAGGGCAGAACTGAAAAGCAGAGGAAGCAGAGAGGCAGCTCTTCTGCTGGGTAACAGAGAGAGCAACTTCCCCAAGGACTCCATGTAATTAAAACATGGGTGAGGCAAAAAAATGAGAAGTCAGAGAACTGGGACTGTGAAAGTCTTTAAGAAAGAGGCAGGAGCTGCCAGGTAAACTGGCAAAACGAAACCAAAGGAGGCACGTGGGGAAGGACGTGGTTTATAGCTGTGCTAATTAAAATAGGTGTCCAAGGAACAAACACTTTGGTTGTGCTGCTCCTTCCCCACTGGATCCAGGCACTGTGTGTCTTCCAGAAGCTCAGGGGTGGAGTTGTGAGGCCCACAGTGCTGCTGTGTCTTTGGCAGGTCCGTCATCCCTGTCCCCTCCCCACTCAGGCTCCTCCCATGTTTGCCAGCACCAAGGAAGCTCCAGATCTCCCTTGAGAGACACAGCAGTGACCAGGCTCAGCTGTGGGGCATCAGAGCAGCAACGAGCAACTGAGGTATCAAATAATTCCCTTTTATCCCAATAGTATTGGTATCAAAGAGGCACAAGTTCAAACAGCAGCATCCTCTGCCACTGTTGTTGCAGCACAAGTCACCCACTGGCTCAGGTCCTCTTCTCCCAAGAGCCACCCGGGGGGCTGGTTTGCCCGGTGTTTAAGCACTTTCTTCATCTGCATCCTCCTCCTCTCGCTCCAGGCAGTTCCCTTGGTCAGCTCTCCAGGCTGTCACCCTGCTCTCCAAGAAGAGCATCCCTCTCCTCGTGGGTACTGGCTCTTCCCTTCCGATAGGCAAGGAACTGGAAGGAGATCTGAGGAGAGGTTAAGGCTCTTCACGCACATAAGGGTGGATCTGTGTCATAAACTGGGTCTCACCACCTCCACAAAGGGTGTTTGTGCCAGCAGAGGTGGAAAAAGGGCAATGCAAACAAAGGGCTGAAGCATTTCAGCTGTTGCAACACCACAAATTACTCACCTGCACTTGGGTGAGCAATCCCTGAGTAGTGTCAACCCACCCTTCTCCTGCCTAACCCTGCCTGTTCCAGGGCAGGATCACTCCCTGCAAAGCCTTGCCAGTGGGGTGCGATTCCAGAGGGAAGTTTTGGCAGGGGAAGGATACAACTACGTCGAGAGACAGGACCCCCAGGCTGCCCACCAGCCAGGGCAGGTGGTGCAGGACATAGTCACCTTCACCTTGGCCTGGCTCAGGGTTCTTCAGGAGGACACTGAGGCCATAGAGAGAGTTCCCCAACATCACCAGGGCAAAGAGGGAGTAGGAGATCCCAGTGGTGGATTTCCTCTTGTACTGGGAATAGCGGGCACAAGAAGAGCAGCTTGGGTGCAGCTCTCCTAAATAAAGTGGTATTAATCATCCTCTCCCCGAAAAAAGAGAAGAAAAAAGGTGGTGACTCAATGCCAAGAGCCCTTTACTTCCCCTTTTACTTGTAAATAAGACAAAATGAAAGCCACACCCTCGAAATATTGGTAGGTTAAAGGGAAGGGAGAAAAATAAATTGGGTTTTGGACCAGAAATACAGAAAAATAGTCCCTTATGAAATCATCAGAGACACAGTCCTGGGACTTCTGAGCAAAGAGGAGAAAGAAGATCCCAGCAACCCCCTTGGTCAGGGCCCAGGGGGTGCCCAGGGCTGGGCACTCACGTTGGTGTAGATCTGGGGCAGTCGGGAGCACAGGTACAGCACGGAGGACACGGAGCCGATGGTGAATCCAATGATCTCACTCCTGGTGAAAGGCTGCAAGGAAAGGGGGAGCCAGAAGCAGCTCAGCATTCACACCATGGCCCCCAAACCCAGCCTCTGATCTCCCCAGCTCTCCCTCATCTGATAGGTCCTGTGTTAATGATAACTGATAATTATATTTCATTTTACTATAGGAAAATATGTAGTCTAGTTCAAACTCTTATAATGGGAATTGGGTTTATTTTCATTGTTTGGAGAGGTCCTTCACTATTGCCAGTGCAAAACTCTTCTGCAAACCTCCTTGTACTGAAGCCAATTGAGTTACTTTGCTGCACTTGCTTGCTGGTTGGCTTTTCAATTATGTATATATGTGCATAATTGGAAAAAAGAATAAAAGGGGGAAAGTCTCTCAAATTTCCTGAAAACAGTCACTCTTTATGGCTGTGGTTTAATGTGAATGAACGTGGTTTAACTATCACATTTTTTAGAGAATGTCCATCCTATGCAGCTCCCTGAAATAATGTCTATTCACAAACAGAGATGTTGCTGAATCTTGAGCAGGCCTTGAAATGTCTGAAATCCTGCAGCAGACTATCCCTGAATTTTGGAGCAATCTTTTAAGGCCTCTCTCCAGTGTCACCTTCCGAGACTGTAACACTCTGGAGAACAATTTGCTCCTGAAACAGGAACAGAGAAGCCCCTAACCCCAAAATATGTGGTGGGGTACAAGGTATTTTTTGGGACTACTGGGTGGGATCACACCATCCAGCAGGACATGCCCACCCAGATCTTCTGTATCCCATCAACCCAGATTTAGGAATTGGCTCACCTTTGATCCAGGATCATCCATGTGAACTGACAGCAGCGACCTCCCTTGAAAGGTCCCTGGACCCTCTGCCGAGGTGCCGCTGCCCAGGAGGGAGAGGGTTGACACTGTTCCCACGGAGAGGAACACAAAGGCTGCATTGATTGGGGCGGTGACTGCAGGGAATCAAGGAGAGCCTGGTTAGGGAGAATCCCATCAACCCCCAACAGCCTCGGGGGTGCCAGGACCCTCTCAGGGTAAGGAACCTCCAAGCTGTGCCTTATCTCCGCAGCACTGAGGGACAGGGACATGGCTGTGGGTGATTTATCTCCAGCGATGTGGCCAATTCATACATTATCAGGCAGGAAACTGCTCCTATCTCGGTTTCTTTGGGTTTAGGCTCTTAAAAATCATCCCCTCTAGAAGATTTCACTGTCTTAACTCACAACAGCCACACTCAAATCCCTGCCAGAGCAAGCCCTGCTTCAGCTTATTTATTATTATTAATTTATTATTATTCAGTAATTATATTCAGTAAACAGACTCTCCAGCATAACAAAACTATGTAGTTGATAGGCTAAATATCAATTGGTTTAATAAGTTTACATGTCTTTAATAAGTTAAAGTCATCCTGGTCCCAAGGTGCCTGTTTGGAGTTCACAAAGCTGCAATGCTGAAAAATGGATTTACTCTGTTTTCTCTGGCTGTTTGAACCTTTCAAGAACTGATAAGGTTCCCTTTTCACTCCAGTCAAACAGGGAGGAACTTCCCCACCATGTCAGTACTGGAGTTCTGACCCCAAGACAATCAGAAAACTTCCCCCTTTCCCTTGCAGCCCTGGCCTGCGTCAGGAGTTCTGTGGTTTCCAGCTCCGAGGTGGAGTCATCACCTCCCTGTGGGTAAAGAATTTATTTCTATCCCCAGTGCGACTCACAGGGGAGTTATTTTCAGCCTGGACACCATGGGGAGGTTTGCAGGGTCTGCAGAAGCCCCAGGCACAGCCTGTAGCTATTTGTTGGCTTTGGCTTTCCTGGGGGCTCAAATTATCCAAGTTAAAAACTCCAGCAACCATCTAATAGCTGTATCTGCAAAGCATCTCTGCCCCGGAATCTCCCTGGGGATTCCCTCCCCTCCACAGACAAGGACAAGCCCCCCCCCGTGCCCCAACTCACATCTCGCACCCCTGTTCTTCACCCTGTAGTAGCAGTAGAGCGAAAGCATCACCAGGTCGGCCAGCACGTAGTAAACGGCCGTGTAAACCTGCAGGGAGGGGACATGGGGACACCTGCAGGGAGGGCCGGGGATGGCTGGGATGGGACAACAGCCCTGGGAGAGAGGGGAGCATCCCTGAGGGGAAAAGAGGGAACAATCCCAGGGGGTGAAAAAGGGAACATCCCTGGGAGAGAAGGGAGTAACCCCAGAGGGGAAGGAGGGAGCAACCCCATGGGAGAAGGAGGAAACAACCCTAGGCCGGAGAAGGGAGCAATTCTGGAGGGAAGCAGGGAGCATCCTTGAGGGGAAAAGAGGGAGCAACCTTGAGGAGAGAAAAGAGAGTAACCCCGGGGGGAAGAAGGGAGCAACCCCAGGGAGGAAAGAGAGAACATCCCTGATGGGAGAAGGGAACAACCCCAGGAGGGGAGAAGGGAGCATCCTGGGTTGTTTGGGTCTCTGTTTCCCAGGACTGGATTAAGCAGCTCCCAGCCCATCCCTCCTCCCTGGAGTTCGGGGTGTCTGGGAGCCAGCCCAGCCCCAGGGGTTTGGTACCTGCAGGGGCAGCTGATCAGCCAGGAAGGAGCCGATGAGGTTTAGGAGGTCTCCTCCCAGCCATCCCAGCAGGAAATATATGGAGAGAGCCCGGTCCATGATGCCTGTTTTGCAGGCTTGGTAAAACTGCCTGCAGAGAATTGGGCAGAGACACAAACATTGCCCCTGACTGGTTCAGCACTACCTGGGAACCATCCCCAGGGCTCCCTGTGCCCCCCTGCAAACTGGTCCCAGTCAGAACTCCTGAGACCCACTGGTGCTTGTTGGGCTCAAGCCCTGTGTCTCATGCTGCAGCAGGAGGGAGTGAGGAGAAGCCTCAGTTGCAGGATCCTCCCCTCTGGTTACAAAATAATCGAGCTGGAGCGTGACTCCCCACATCCCCCTCTGCCACACTCGTCTCAGTACTTCCAAGAAGCTCAGTGTTCCTGGAAACATTCCAGGCACATGTATGACCTGCCCTGAGCACACTGCAGTTGGCTTACGTGGGATATTCCGGCTGCCAAGCTCAGCAACAACAATATAGCAACCACCAAGGCTTTGGGGCTGTGCCGTCTACTCCTCTCCTCTCGCTCCTAAACTTTCCAAGCCCTGATTGCTTTTGATGGGTAGATTTAATAATTCAGGCACCTGGTGCTTGAAGGTTGACTTTTGCTGCCCATGGAAAAGGCTGGGCTAGGATTTGGGATGATACTCACGGGAAGGAGGCGGCTGCGAAGCAGAAGATGGAGACCAGCCCCAGGATAATGCTGGAGACGTCCCGGCTGTCCTGGGCACACTCGTGGAACACGTCCAGGATCCAGCGGGAGCCATTGGGACACTCGGAGAGATTCCCAAACGGGACACCCCTCCAGCGCCGCGCAGCCATGGCCCAGGAATGTCAGTGTCCAGCAGGGAACTGGGGGAAAAAATTAATTATGCTGGAGAAAAATAGATCTGGAGGAGGCACACGATTGGGGCTCCTCTGGATGCAGCTGGAAACCGGCTCGTGTTGGGAAAAAGAATCATTAGTGGATAATACACCTTTATTGGCCTTAATTTTGCATCAGGGATGAGAGGAGTGGGAAGGTTGTCGGCCTAGCAGGGTTTGGCCTCAAAGGAGAAAGAGAAGAAATAAAAGAAGAAGAAATAAAATGGGGGAAAAAAAAGGAAAAGAAAAAAAAAAAAGAAGAAAAAGAAAAGGAAATAAGAAAACAGAAGAAAATAAAAGAGAAAAAGGAGAGAAAAAATGAAGAAAAAAGGAAGGAAAAGGAAAAGGAAAAGGAAAAGGAAAAGGAAAAGGAAAAGGAAAAGGAAAAGAAGAAAAAGGGGGGAAAAGAAAAGAAAGAAGAAAAAAGAAGTAAAAAAAAGGAGAAAAATAAGAAAAAATAAACAAAAGAAAAAAAAAAGATGAAGGAAAAAAGGAGGGGAAAGAGGAGAAAGAAGAAGAGGGGGAAAAAGAAGAAGGCAAAAAAGGAAATACAAGAGAAGCAGCCGAAGTCCAGCCCGACGTGTCCCCGCAGCACCGGCACTCACCTCCCACCGACGCCGTTCGCCACTTGACTTTATTTTTCCTCGGAAACTCGCTCTCTTTGGAAGCTGGGAGGTCTGTCTGTGCCCCCCGCTCCCCCTCACGGACCCGCCGAGTTCTCTCGGCCGTTCCTGCCCGGCACCGGCGGCTCTGCCAGGAAGTTGCCGGAATCTTTCCCCCCGAGATCCGCAGCTTTTCCGTGAAATCCGCAACGTGGTTTTTTTTCCCACAAACGTGCTGCTTTTCCACAGACGCGTTTGTTCCCGAGCCTGGTTTCTGACAAACCCGGTGGGTTTTTGCCCAAACTCGCTGTTTTTCGGCCAAACCGGCGGGTCCGGCCGCGCTCGGGGCGGGTCCAGCCGCGCTCGGGGCGGGTCCGTACCCCGCGCACGCGCGATGGCTGTGCGGGCGATGGCGGCCATGGCGGCCATGGCGGCGGGGGGAGCGCGGCCCACGGTGGTGCTGGGCACGATGGAGATGGGCCGGCGGGCAGGGCCCGAGGCGAGCGCGGAGCTGCTCCGCGCCTTTCTGCGTCGCCGCTACCGCCTCCTTGACACTGCCTTCATGTACGCGGGCGGAGAGTCCGAGCGCATCCTGGGTGCGCTGCTGGCGGGAGGCACCGGGCCCGGTACGGCGCGGGGAATGGGGGCTGCCCTGAGGGGAAGGGGCTTCCTCGGGGTTCGTTACCTGAAGTCAGCGGTCTTTCCTGAGGAGAAGGGTTTTCTCTGCCAGACTTACACCGTCTTTGAGGAGAAGGGACTTACCTCGAGACTCGTGCCCTGAGGAGGGGGGTCTTCCCTGTCAGGCTGACACTGTCCCTGAGGACGAAGGACTGCCCTGGGCCTCTTCCCTAAGGAGGAGCGTCTTCCCTGAAGGGAATGGACTCCCTAAGCAAAAGGAACTTGCCTCGAGACTTATTCCTCCTGCCAGGCTGACGTTGTCCCTGAGGAGGATTTCCCCTGGGCCAGTTTCCTGAGGAGAAGGGACTCCCCGAGGGAAGGGACCATTGCCTGAGGAGAAGGCAGGGCTGACTGCCAGGCTGACTCTGTCTCTGAGGACAAGGACCTTCCTCAGAGTCCATTCCTTGAGGAGAGGAGTTTTCCCTGCTAGGCTGACTCCCTCCTTGAGGAAAAGGGACTTCTCCCAGGCCCATTCCCTTAGGATAAGGGTTTTCCTTGCCAAGCTGATGCCAGGCCTGAGGGGAGGCCTTAGTGCTGACCCCCAGACCTTGAGAATCCCTTCCCTCTCCAGGGCAGACCCCCAATCATCTGGGGAAGAGTTTCCCCTGCCAGGCTGACGTGGTTCCCGAGGAGAGGGACCTTCCCTGAAACACCTCAAACGCTTGGTTATGCCCCTTATCCCTGTTTTCCTCCCGAAGGCTGAAATTCCTTGCTCATTCCTTCTTTCTCTGCCAGTGGAAGTGGCCACCAAGGCCAACCCCTGGGATGGGAAGACGCTGAAGCCGGAGAGTGTGCGCTCCCAGCTGGACACATCCCTGGAGAGGCTGAAGAGGACAAGCGTGGAGCTCTTCTACCTCCACGCTCCTGACCACGGGACTCCCGTGGAGGAGACGCTGCGTGCCTGCAACGAGCTGCACAAAGAAGTAAAGTGGAGAGTCCAAGCCTGGACAATCCTTGATTCCCTCCTTCCCACCACTTTTTTTTAAACCAGGGTTGCGTGTTGTGCCCACTGCAGCACTAGATTTGTACAACACTCAGAAGAGGAGACAGAGCCCAGGGCAGAGCAGAGCAGCTGCCGCTCTGTTGGGTGCTCACTTGGTACACTTTGTTCCCAAAAGCTCTTGGAAGCCGTAGAACATCTGAACTTTGCTTCCAGCCATGTTAACTGACTGGATTAGGATTAGTGCTGGTAATGGGTGAAGAATTCCTGAATTGCATTAATCTAACTATGCCATTTAAAGTAGAGAGTGTGAATTCCAAATGAGCAGAAAATGAGAAATATTTTTGTCGGGTCTTTATAGTCTCTTGGGAAAGGTGGAGAGTAGTGAGCACTCTGGACTAAAATTTGGTGACTCCTTTTCACTGTATGCATCTTGCACTGTCTGAGTTCAAATGAACTTTTAAACACTGGAACTGAATTCTCTTTTATTCCTCTGCAGGGAAAGTTTAAAGAACTTGGTCTGTCAAACTATGCAGCATGGGAGGTGGCAGAAATCTGCACCATCTGCAAGTACAACAACTGGGTGATGCCAACTGTGTACCAGGTGAGGGGTGGTATTGCTGTGGGGAAATACCTGGGATTTGGGGTTCCCAGATCTCGGACCAACCTCTAGTGTGCCAGATATAAACAGAGAAGGAATCTGCTGCAGTTAGTCTGAGAAGTCAGAATCACTGAGGTTGGAAAAGACCCTCAAGGTCATCGAGTCCACCCTGTGCCTGATCTCCACCTTGTCCCCCAGCCCAGAGCACTCAGTGCCACAGCCAGTCCTTCCTTGGACACCTCCAGGGATGGGGACTCCACCACCTTCCTGAGCAGCCCCTTCCGGTGCCTGACCACCCTTTTCATGTCCTTTCCGGACACACGATTGGGAAGCTGAGCGAGGTCGCTGCTCAGGAACACCTGAGTGTGTGTTTGTTGCTGGAGTCAGTGACTCCCCTACTGTGAAACTTAAATTTTTGCATTATTTGCAATCCTTCAGCGAGTCTGTTCCTAAGCAAATCATCACCTTGTGTGACCTGAAGGCTCTCTTCTGGTTAAGTCTTGTCAGGGAAGGGTGGAAAGAGGCCGGTCCTCTGCCCTGAGCTGGTGTTTGAAGCTGTGTCCCCCCCTTGGTGCAGGGTATGTACAACGCGACCACGCGCCAGGTGGAGGCTGAGCTCTTCCCCTGCCTGAGGCACTTTGGGCTACGGTTCTACGCCTACAACCCCCTGGCAGGTACAGGGGGGGACAAGGCCAGACTTTGGGACAAAACCCTGGGAAATGGGGGCTGCCCATTTAGCCCAGCCCTAAACCTGCTGCTGCCCTTTGCAGGAGGGCTCCTGACCGGCAAGTACAAGTATGAGGACAAAGACACGCGCCAGCCTGCTGGGAGATTTTTTGGGAACGACTGGGCTCAGGCCTACAGGGACAGGTATGTTTTGAGCTGACAGACAAGGAATGGCTGCGTTAAAAACACACTAATCATCAGCTGAGAGGAAGCAGAATTGGCCAAAGCTTGTGCAGGGATTGCATCAGCACGCATGGTTGGGGCCATGGCATGTGATTGAGCTTTTGCAGGGTGGTTTTTATGCTCAGCTTCCCTACAACTTGCAGGGGAGATTGCAGAAGTCCTCAGAGGCTATAAGGAGTTGTACGAAGCTTCCTTTTGGTTAGAATATAGATGTACCACTCACTAGAGGTCTCAAGGGCAATAAGAGTGATTTCTTTTGATGCAGGTACTGGAAAAAACACAATTTTGAGGGAATTGCCCTAGTGGAAAAGGCTCTGAAAGAGGCTTATGGCTCCAACCCACCCAGCCTGGCCTCAGCTGCACTGCGCTGGCTCTACAACCACTCCAAACTGCAGGTGAGAGCTCAACCTGGCCATAACCAACAGTCTGGGCATGCTGCCAGGGCTGTGCACACAGACAGTTTAACTACATTTCAGTGTAGTTATCCTTTAATCTGCACATCTCATGGAGTTGCGGTGTTCCAAAGTGAATATCGGTGTGTGGACTCTGCCGGACTGCTCGAGCAAGTCAGCTCTGTGTCCCCCGTGGTATCCTCTGTGCTTAGGATTGGAAGAAGTGGAAGATTTTAATTCCTAATTAGTGGGGTCTTGGCTTCCCGCCCACTCAGCCTCTGTGCAAGGAGAGCACTTGCTCTTCCTTGGACTAGGAAACTAATGGTTATATTCCCCATCTCCCCCACATGTTCCTGTAGCCCATCATTAAGTACGATTTGGCAGCTTTTGAGGAGTTGGCATGACTTGGAGATGTCCTGGCTTTCTGACCAGAACTTTGTAGTGTCAGTTGTCTAAATCCTTGAGGGGTGAACCAGGTTTCTTTTGGGGTCAGCAGCACCTCATATCTCTTCCCAGGGTTCTCTTGGAGATGCAGTGATTATCGGGATGTCCAACATGGAGCAGCTAGAGCAGAACCTTAACTACAGCGAGGAGGGTCCCCTGCTCCCAGCTGTGGTGGAGGCGTTTGATGCAGCCTGGAACATGAATGCCCACGACTGCCCCAACTACTTCCGTTAGGGATTGGAGCAGGGACGGAATGCCGGCCGCATGGGGGTGGAGAACAGAGCACAGGGCTCTGGAAACACTGGAGAGGTACTGCCCACCCTGCCCTTTGAGCCATGAGCAAATGGGTTGAGATTTCTCCTGAATTAATGAAGCTTTGTAGGATCCACAACTGCTGTTGTGCTGGGCTGTGCCTTGGTCATTCCTCCCTCCCAGCCCTCCAGGTCCCCAGAGCACCGTAATTAAAGCTGCAGTTAATCAGGAAAGTGAACACATTAATGGGGTGAAAGCCCCAGTTCTGCTTTAATGTGAAATCTTAAATAATTACGTACAAGAATAAAACCTCTTTCTAACACAGCTCCCATCTCTGACCTGTACCTGTAACCTGGCTGGCAGCACTTGGGGACTTGGGATCGTAGAATCCCAGATTGGTTTGGGTTGGAAGGGACCTTAAAGCTCATCTCATCACAGTCCCTGCCATGAGCAGGGACACCTCCCACTAGCCCAGGTTGCTCAGAGCTCCATCCAGCCTGGTCTTGTACTCTTTCAGGGAGAGGGCAAAATTCCAGGGATGAGCTAAATTATCTTCTTCTATGTCAGAATAACAAACTCTTGGCATTTTCTCCACTGTGCTACATCGAAGTTGCATTAACTTTACACCCTTTCTGCCCAGTTTTCACTTTTGAGGTGGAATTTTCTCAGATCTTGGGATACACAAACAGGAACAGGCAGCAGCAACAACCATCTGAAGTTTTGTATACAGATTTATATATATATAAAAAAAGCATAGTTAGATCATTTTTTACAAAGAGCACATTTGAGCTGATCATCCTTGTCCAGCTGCAGACAGGTGAGGGAAACATCCTCCTCTTTTTGTCTCTAAAATAGAATAGAACTGCCTGGTGTCCACACTGCTAGTCCTCGTTGCTGTCATCATCATTATCCTCCTCTTCCTCTTCCTCTGCTGTGTCTCCAACAAGCTTCTGGAAGTCTCCTGTCTCAGAATTCCACACGAATTTGATGGTGACTTTAAACTCTGCCATCTCATAACCGAAGAGTTTCTAGGAGAGGACACAAATGTGTTCCTGCTTTACCGTCTCTGTGTCCAGCTTAGCAAAACAGTCCAGACCACTTCCAGGTGGGAAGTGCTGCAGAGCAGGAGCCAAAATAATTGCTGCTGAGTTTCAGGGGTTGCATTAATTAATTATTTTGTATCAGGAAATGGGGCTGTTGTGTTACTCACCAGGACACGAGCCTGTTCCGGGGTGAGAACATCCCCTTCCTTGCAGACTTCGTAATCTGAGAGCAGCGTCACCACCCCTGCAGGAACAAAACCCCTTCAACAGGCTCCCAGGTACTGGGTAACCCCCTGAAATGTGGGGTGAAGAGCCAGGACTCCCTCCAACACCACCCTTTGGAGCTTTCCACGCAATGTTAGTGCACCTCAAGGAGCTGGGTCAGCTCAAAAAAAAACCCCGTCTGGTTTCTGAATGGGTCAATCCCAGCTGTTCCCACTGGAAAAGGACAGTGTTTTGGAGAAAGCTTGTTCTTTGACTCATCCTTTGACATGAGTTTGGGAAGAACAGCACAAGAAGGACATAAGGAGTTCTAGCCTCATCCCAACGAGGAGAACATCCGTGGGATTTTTGCAGATCTAAATTCCATTTAACATTCTGTTTCTGATATCTTCCCTGCTCAGACAGACACAAGGCTGCCCTTCCCAGCTGCCCCAGTACCTTTCTTCAGCGCCGTGGGCAATCCCAGCTGCCGGAGCTGCGGCTCCATGGAATGTGGGAACTGCTCCAAGGGCCCTGTGTCCAGGCTCACCCCGTACGGTGCCTTGTTCCCAGCGCGGGCAAAGTCCACCTCTCGGAACTTGGAGAACCACCTGGGACAGGCAACAAGACCTTCAGCCTCCTCTGGCTACAGCCTGCCCTAAGTTCCTGTGTTGCCCAGAGAAGCTGTGGCTGCCCCTTCCCTGGAAGAGTCCAAGGCCAGGTTGGGCAGGGCTTGGAGCAACCTGGGCTAGTGGAAAGTGTCCCTGCCCATGGATGGGGTTGTGACTGGATGAGATTTAAGGTCCCTTCCAACCCAAACCATTCCACGATTCCTTGCTGTCAGAGGGATGGCTGAGAAAAATGAGTGGAAAACCCCATGAGACCATCCCTGCTTTAAGGGAGCATCAGGGAGTACAGTGGTTACA